CCTAATACTTGGGGAAATCTTGAATTCTTACAAATTACAAGATAGTTCTGTCCTGTGGCGTTCATATTTTTACCAAGATTTAGAGAAAAAGCAGTAGAATGATATAATGTAGGATACTACACAGTCTCCTTTTAAAATCTATATCCTTAGATCTGTTATAATAAAATAGTCATGGCTGCTTTTGTTAAAAATGTTTCTTATAATGATTGTGATCATTTTATTTTAGAGGAAATCAAAGTTCCACCAATATTATGAGACCAAGTATCCTTGGATCATTAAAAAGAAAAGGTACTTTTATCTACCAGCAGAAATAAATATAACTTTGAATTGTTTGTATAAAATAACATATGAAATCAAGTGTTATACAAAAATTCATCTTGAAGGATTTACTTATTTAAAATACACTCGATAAGTTTCATTTTACTCAAACCTATATGTAAAACATTCGAAAGCTATAAAGTGCCTTATAAATGTGAAATGAGAAATTTAATTCCAATTTAGCCAGCTGTTAAGATTTTCATTATATAAGTATAATTCACCAAGCTAGCTACCTTAAATACTTTCTGAAATAAGGCGGGGAATAAATGAACAGATAGCGTAAATTGGTCATCAAGTATTCCGCTGAATCTCAAACCCTGCCTTGCCCTGCCACCACACATACATGTTGATATCATATGAATAAGTTGACACAAATTAGATCCACTTAAAACACTAAAAAAATATATGCTAAGGTATATGTTCTTTGATGTTTCACTTCTTTACGTGGTTATTTTTTGGATAAATATATGTAAAATGACCCACATATTCAGTAATAAAAAGGCAATGGATAGAACAGAAGTGTTTTGCTTTTTTAAACTCCCAATCCTGGATCCCATTTCTCAACCCTGCCTCACTAAGTTATGTTCTTCCTTTTCTGTTAACACTGCTACTGGCTTATAGGCTTAGTTTCAACTTTAACTGTAATAAGGAAGGAAAGTGGATAAATGAGAAAGGAGATTAAACTTTTAAAATGTGTGTGTGAAAAATTCATTAAGATAGGAAAGGAAGAGGAGGAGAAAAAAGGAAAAGAAGAGTAAAACTATAGGGAAAGGAATTG